TTGGCACGCTTGCCGTGCGGTAGCAGAGAGAACAGTCTATGGACTAGGGTGGCTGGAGTCTTTGACAATTTCTAGGGCCTTCCTCTGACACCGCCTGGTATAGAGGTCCTGGATGGCAGGGAGTTCGGCCCCAGTGATGCACTGGGCCGTACGCACTACCCTCTGTAGTGCCTTGCGGTCGGAGGCCGAGCGGTTGCCTACCAGGCGGTGATGCAACCAGTCAGGATGCTCTCAGTGTACGTGTTGAGGTGTGGCAGATTTTCACATCTGAGCCTGAGCCATTTAGGTCACCTACGAAGTACATCACAGTAAAGTTGTCAACCGGTCTAAGTGCAGATCCAGACATAGCCTATATTTACCAGATCACCACATGATGAGGTGCACTCTGATATCCCTCCCAGTTTACTCTATCTCTGGGTTGACATTATTTGGGACATTTGTGGGGACATTATTTGGGTCCCAGTCTAGGTAATTAGTCCTCCTCCCAATGACATCAGATACCACAGCGTGTTTAAATAGCCATAGAAATAGTCTCAGAATGATCCTACTGCTGTACTGTAGTCTATATGGATGTGTCCCAAATGTCACCCTATTCCCTACATAGTGCACTACTTTTGACCAGAGCCCGGTAAAGAGGTCAATGGAACACGACCCAAAACAATGGATTTTTTTTAATTTTAAAATTTTTGGCCATGGAAACGTGTAGGGGAAAGATGCCGTTGGGGAAAGATCCAGAATTTCCTCATTGCCCCCCAGCTAAATTAGCCTACATTTAGGATATTGTTTATGTGTATTTCACACTATGTTGAGGTAAAAATCGGAGTATAATGCTTGTATGGACGTCAACCCCAATACATGTTCATGTCATCGTTACCAATCAACTGCATTACAGATAAAAAGGACTTTGACTACCACCACTGATTTCTCTATGCTAGCTATGCTACAAGCTTATACGAATGGGAGTTAGCATTTATCAGTTACTTGTTCTAAACCTGAAAAGGGACTACTTCTAAGTGTTATGCAGCGAAAACAGCAAAATATTGTATATCCAAATCTGACTTTAGTAACCACATTGTGGGCCTGTTACAAGACATCAATCATGATGGATTTGACGAATATCCACTTTGTTAGATCAGATCAGATTTGTTGAACATGCGCCAATCCGGCGTGCTTCTTCCTTCCGCCACGGTCTGCGTTCCATTGTCCTATTTACTGCATCTATATAGAGAAGAAGGTGACGTTCAGGACACTTCCTACGATTCTTTTGCATCCTCCTTATGCCAGCTAGAAGACACTTAAGAATGTATTTGACAGTGATATGACACTCAGGGCCAGCTCTAGCCTTTTGGGGGGGCCCTAAGTGAGATTTAGTTCTAACAAAATCAATTGGGGGCCCCCTGGAGGTCAGAGCCCCTGGGCATGTGCCCTGCATGCCTGGTCAGTATTTGGCCGTGATTACTACAAATGTAGAAAGCTGGCTAGACTAATTTACCAATCTAAAAATTGTTAGCTAACATGGCTGAGTGACTGTCAAATTGCTGATGTGCAACCAAATTTCGAACTTGCACCTTGTGTATTCTACTATTCTAACTCTCAACAGTAAGTTGAGACCCAGACAGAGGTTTTTTTGGGGTTGGGGCCCCTTAGGGTTTTGGGGCCCTAAGCGACCGCTTATGTCGCTTATGCCTGGGCCGGCCCTGATGACACTAAATTGTGTGACAAATATTGCTACCGGGTCTTAACATGAAGGCCAGAACTGTACAGGCACAGCACAGGGACGAAGTGGAGTCCCAATTCAACGGCTCAGACACCAGACGTATGTGGCTTATAAAGGGAAACCAGCCACATCACAGACACCAACACAAGCTAGACACCTTCTTCGCCCGCTTTGAGGGTAACACAGTGCCACCGACGCGGCCCGCTCCCAAGGACTGTGGGCTCTCGTTCTCCGTGGCCAACGTGAGTAAGACATTTAAGCGTGTTAACATCCGACATGGGTCACTGCTGCTCATGAGGCATGTAACTATGGTAACCCTTTCAAGGCTGCCGGCCCAGACGGCATCCCAAGCCGTGTCCTCAGAGCATGCGCAGACCAGCTTGCTGGAGTGTTTACAGACATATCCAATCTCTCCCTATCCCAGTCTGTTGTCCCCACTTGCTTCAAGATGTCCACCATTGTTCCTGTACACAAGAAAGCAAAGGTTACTGAACTAAATGACTATCGCCCCGTAGCACTCACTTATATCATCGTGAAGTGCTTTGAGAGGCTAGTTAAGGATCATATCACCTCCACCTTACCCAACACCCTAGACCCACTCCAATTTGCATACCGCCCCAACAGATCCACGGATGACGAAATCACCATCACACTGCACACTGCCCTATCCCATATGGACAAGAGGAATACCTATGTAAGAATGCTGTTCATCGACTACAGCTCATCATTGCCCCCAAGGTCTGAACCCCGCCCTGTGCAACTGGACCCTGGACTTCCTGACGGGCCGACCCCAGGTGGTGAAGGTAGGAAACAACACCTCCACTACGCTGATCCTCAACACAGGGGCCGCATAAGGGTGCTTGCTCAGCCCCCTCCTGTATTCCCTGTTCACCCATGACTGCGTGGCCACGCACGTCTCCAACTCAATCATCAAGTTTGCAGACGACACAACAGTGGTAGGTCTGATTACCAACAACGACGAGACCGCCTACAGGGAGGAGGTGAGGGCCCTGGCGGAGTGGTGCCACGAAAATAACCTCTCCCTCAACGTTAACAAACCGAAGGAGCTGATCGTGGACTTCAGGAGACAGCAGAGAGAGTACGCCCCCCATCCACATCGACGGTGCCGCAGTGGGGAGGCTGAAGAAATTTGTCTTGGCCCCTAAAACCCTCACAAACTTCTACAGATGCACCATTGAGAGCATCCTGTCGGGCTGTATCACCGCCTGTTACGGCAATTGGACCTCAGCCACCCGAGCCATGGGCTGTTCACCCCACTACCATTTAGAAGACGGAGACAGTACAGGTGCATCAAAGCTGGGACCGAGAGACTGAAAAACAGCTTCTATCTCCAGGCCATCAGAATGTTAAATAGTCACCACTAGCCGCATCCACTCAGTAACTTGCCCTGAACTTAGCCACTGTTACTAGCCGGCTACCACCCGGTACTCTACCCAGCACTTTAGAGACTCAAATCAAATCAAATATTATTTGTCACATGCGCCAAATACAGCAGGTGTAGGCCTTACTGTGAAATGCTTACTTATGAGCCCTTAACCAACAATGCAGAGTTTTTAAAAGTAAGTAAGAAACATTTGCTAAATAAACTAAAGGAAAAATAGTAACTGCTGCTCTATTTACATAGTCATTGAACACTGGTCACTTTAATAATGTTTATATACTGTTTTACCCACTTCATATGTATATACTGTATTCTAGTCATGGCTCATCCTATATAACTTCTGCTGTACACACCCTTTCTATTCATATACTGTCCATAATGTCTATACACACCATCATATACATATATATTTATATTCTGGACTCTGACATTGCTCCTTCTGATATTTCTTAATTACTTTATTTGGGGGATTTGGGTGTATTGTTTTGTATTGTTACTGTTGTAGCTATAAAAAACATTAAAAAAACATAAGCATTTCGCAGCACCTGCGATAACATCTGCAAAATATGTGCACGTGACCAATAACATTTGATTTGATTAGTGCTGGATATGGACTTGTTTATCCGAAAGTTCTACTGGCCACTGGCGACGGGGGCGGGAACACACGTCGATTTCCATCCCGCTATGGTGATTTGACGTCATATACTGTATTAAGACCAGCTGTGAGGGAGAAGTGCGCGGGGCTTTCGCCATTCCTCTGGTCAAGTTGTCAATGAAGGCATCAGAAAATAGAGAACTCTGACCAAGACGGTTATTTCCGTTGGATTTGTGGACCACTCTGATTTTCATTAAAAATTGACCAGAAATACCTTTTGGATAGCTTATTCTGGTGTTTTGGTTTTGGAGGCCTTTAAGATATTAAACAGCTGGACATTGCATAACAGGTAAGTTGTTTTCAGATGTCCCAAATCTATTCAGAGATTTGAAGGCAATGAAGGGTATTGTGAAATATAGGAGCATAGCCTTTTCTTATATCAAAATAGGATGCAAACTAACTGCGAATACAGAAACGTTGTTCCAGTGTTTGGCTTGGCTACTGTATATATGTGCGCATTGACGCGCTGTGCAACAGTTGGTTTTTGCTTGTGAACCCAATAAACAAACATTAGGCTATAACCAGCGCGCTAAACAGATGTATCGCTATGGTCACGGTCACAACCCTTTGGATAGCCTAGTCTACCACTTGATCCGCATTCCGCAGTCACAACTTCTTTAGAGGCCGCGACATAATTGTCCCGGTAGTAAACAGACGTGATTCATTAATAGGTCTTCACGCGGCTTCCGCGCGACCTGCTACCAGCTCCGTTACTTAGTAGCCTACGCTACCCAGTAGGGTTATTGAGAAAAAGGATATGCATGGTTACAGGGTGTAAAAATACTCCCCAGCTCTTACATCAGTGGGCTAGGTGTATAATTGGGTACTCTTCCTGTCCACGCAACAGCCTACTGGGTGACTTCACCCACACAGCGCACCGCACAGGGCAGTAGCCTAGGCGATGACCGTACCCTGCAATTCAGCAGCATTGCATTTTACTGTACTTTTCAATGTAGGAATAATGAATAGCCTACAGAAGTTTGGATAATAAATACAGAACTCTGACCGATTGTTGACCTTGGCATGGCGCGGTGACATGGAAGGGACAAAAGCGCACATCGCTGCAGGGGCTGGAACTGCTGCTGGTTCAGCCGTGAGAGAGACGGACACGACCGGGGGAATCGCCGGCTTCGGATAATTATGCTGCTGCTGCAACGACAACTGAAGGCACCCGTCAACCGAAGGCTGTCATCATTTTGTGTTTGTTTGTCACTGGACGTTGAGAAATGTGGAATGGCGCGTTCGGAAATGGGTCAGGTTTGCGTAGTGGAGGGGGGGGCGGTGGCGGGTACGTGCCAGCGCAGGGCTGGGAATTCGTTCCCTGCTCCCGGGTGGAAAGAGAACGAGAGAGGGGCAGGGGGAAGAGTCGCAGCCCGCTCAGGACCTTCTCCTCCCCGCCAACAGTCACTCAGTTCTACGAACAGTCTCATTGTGGAACTGTTGGATCATCACTGGAGCTTCCTCGGGGGCGAGTTCGGGCGCATGAGCCAGGGACTCATCACTCTCGCCTGAAAAAGAAATTTGAGGGCTTAAAGAAACGCCACGGACAGGATAAGGAAGAATGGATACGAGAGAAGGAGATACTTTTAAGACAAGTTGCTGAGATACAAGTAGGCCTAATTGAAATAAGTGCACACTTAAGCACAGGGAGATATTTTATTCTGTGTTTTAGATTATACATCTGGTTCACTACTAGTTGAACTACGTTTTGTTTTAGATACGATTTTCTGAATGTTTCTGAATGTATTTATTGTGGGTCACCAACTACAGCTAACTCTGTATTGTTGTATTGATTCCCAGGGTGGGGAGAACAGAAGGATGAATGTTGCTGTATTGATTCTCAGGGTGGGGAGAACAGAAGGATAAATGTTGCTCTGTGTTGTTGTATTGATTCTCAGGGTGGGGAGAACAGAAGGATGAATGTTGCTCTGTGTTGTTGTATTGATTCTCAGGGTGGGGAGAACAGAAGGATGAATGTTGCTCTGTGTTGTTGTATTGATTCTCAGGGTGGGGAGAACAGAAGGATGAATGTTGCTGTATTGATTCTCAGGGTGGGGAGAACAGAAGGATGAATGTTGCTCTGTGTTGCTGTATTGATTCTCAGGGTGGGGAGAACAGAAGGATGAATGTTGCTCTGTGTTGCTGTATTGATTCTCAGGGTGGGGAGAACAGAAGGATGATTGTTGCTCTGTGTTGTTGTATTGATTCTCAGGGTGGGGAGAAACAGAAGGATGATTGGTTGCTCTGTGTTGCTGTATTGATTCTCAGGGTGGGGAGAAACAGAAGGATGAATGTTGCTTGTATTGATATCAGGGTGGGGAGACACAGAAGGATGAATGTTGTCTGTGTTGCTGTATGATCTCAGGGTGGGGAGAACAGAAGGATGATTGTGCTCTGTGTGTGCTGTATTGATTCTCAGGGTGGGGAGAACAGAAGGATGAATGTTGCGTATTGATTATCAGGGTGGGGGGAGAACAGAAGGATGAATGTTTTTGCTCTGTGTTGCTGTATTGATTCTTCAGGGTGGGGAGAACAGAAGGATGATTGTTGCTCTGTGTTTCTGTATTGATTCTCAGGGTGGGAGAAACAGAAGGATGAATGTTGCTCTGTGTTGCTGTATTGATTCTCAGGGTGGGGAGAACAGAAGGATGATTGTTGCTCTGTGTGTTGTATTGATTCTCAGGGTGGGGAGAACAGAAGGATGAATGTTGCTCTGTGTTGCTGTATTGATTCTCAGGGTGGGGAGAACAGAAGGATGATTGTTGCTCTGTGTTGCTGTATTGATTCTCAGGGTGGGGAGAACAGAAGGATGAATGTGCTCTGTGTTGCTGTATTGATTCTCAGGGGTGGGGGGGAGAGAACAGAAGGATGGATGATGTTGCTCTGTGTGCTGTATTGATTCTCAGGGTGGGGAGAACAGAAGGATGATTGTTGCTCTGTGTTGCTGTATTGATTCTCAGGGTGGGGGAGAACAGAAGGATGAATGTTGCTCGTGTTGCTGTATTGATCTCAGGGTGGGGGAGAACAGAAGGATGAATGTTGCTCTGTGTTGCTGTATTGATTCTCAGGGTGGGGAGAACAGAAGGATGATTGTTGCTCTGTGTTGCTGTATTGATTCTCAGGGTGGGGAGAACAGAAGGATGATTGTTGCTCTGTGTTGCTGTATTGATTCTCAGGGTGAAGAACAGAAGGATGATTGTTGCTCTGTGTTGCTGTATTGATTCTCAGGGTTAAGAACAGAAGGATGATTGTGCTCTGTGTTGCTGTATTGATTTCTCAGGTGGGGAGAACAGAAGGATGATGTTGCTCTGTGTTGCTGTATTGATTCTAGGGTGGGGCGAACAGAAGGATGATTGTGCTCGTGTTGCTGTATTGATTCTTCAGGGTGAAGAACCAGAAGGATGATTGTTGCTCTGTGTTGCTGTATTGATTCTCAGGGTGAAGAACAGAAGGATGATTGTTGCTCTGTGTTGCTGTATTGATTCTCAGGGTGAAGAACAGAAGGATGATTGTTGCTCTGTGTTGCTGTATTGATTCTCAGGGTGGGGAGAACAGAAGGATGATTGTTGCTCTGTGTTGCTGTATTGATTCTCAGGGTGGGGAGAACAGAAGGATGATTGTTGCTCTGTGTTGCTGTATTGATTCTCAGGGTGGGGAGAACAGAAGGATGATTGTTCCTCTGTGTTTCTGTATTGATTCTCAGGGTGGGGAGAACAGAAGGATGATTGTTGCTCTGTGTTGCTGTATTGATTCTCAGGGTGGGGAGAACAGAAGGATGATTGTTGCTCTGTGTTGCTGTATTGATTCTCAGGGTGGGGAGAACAGAAGGATGATTGTTGCTCTGTGTTGCTGTATTGATTCTCAGGGTGGGGAGAACAGAAGGATTTTGTTGGATCTGAAGACAGTAGTGGAGGAGGTGCAGCTAGAGGTGAAGAGAGAGGAGTCTAAGAGGAGTGAACTACAGCTGCAGTACACTAAGGACACATGTGCATGGGAACTGGAGAGAGCTGAGCTGAAATGCAGAATCGCACAGGTAGGAATACAACACTAAAATATACAATATTATACAACACTATACTATACAATATGATACAACACTATACTATACAATATGATACAACACTATACTATACAACACCAACACTATACTAAAACAATATGATACAAAACTATACTATACAATATGATTACAACACTATACTATACTATACAATATGATACAACACTATACTATACAATATGATACAACACTATACTATACAATATGATACAACACTATTCCAAACAATATGATACAACACTATACTATACAATAGGATACAACACTATACTATACTATACTATACAATATGATACAACACTATACTACAATATACAATATGATACAACACTACACTATACAATATTATACAAAACTACACTATACAATATGATACACCACTATACAATATGATACAACACTACACTATACTATACAATATGACACAAAACTACACTATACTATAAAATAGATACAACACTAGTACTATACAATATGATACAAACTACCACTATACTATACAATATGATACAACACTATACTATACTATATAATATGATACAACACTATACTATACTATATAATATGATACAACACTATACTATAAAATATTATACAACACTATACTATATAATGTGATACAACACTATACTATACAATATGATACAACACTATACTATACAATATGATACAACACTATACTATACAATGTGATACAACACTACACTATACAATATGATACAAAAACTATACTATACTGAACAATATGATACAACACTTACACTATACTATACAAATGATACAAACACTACACTATACAATATGATACAGCACTATACTATACAATATGATACAACACTATACTATACTAACAATATGATACAACACTACACTATACTATACAAATGATACAGCACGATACTATACATATGATACAGCACTATACTATACAATATGATACAGCATATACTCTTACAATATGATACAACACGTATACTATTACTATACAATATGATACAACACTATACTATACTATACAATATGATACAACACTACACTATACTATACAATATGATACAACACTACACTATACTATACAATATGATACAACACTATACTATACTATACAATATGATACAACACTATACTATACTATACAATATGATACAACACTATACTATACAATGTGATACAACACTACACTATACAATATGATACAACACTATACTATACTATACAATATGATACAACACTACACTATACTATACAATATGATACAGCACTATACTATACAATATGATACAGCACTATACTATACAATATGATACAACACTATACTATACTATACAATATGATACAACACTATACTATACTATACAATATGATACAACACAATAGAATGGAATAGAATGGATTGGAATGCCTACTTCATCAATTCAATCATATTGATTAGGTATTTGTATTTTCTCTTCGTGCGTGGTCCTTTGAAAACATGGTATCACTATCCATTAGACAGTATTCCATTACTCAGTCTCAGGGGGATGGTATGAGACCCTGGCTGTTGCTAGTGCCACCCTTGTCGCTCTGTTTGCAGGGTGCTAAGTCTTCATGGCTCACAGCCAAATCCTGGTCCTGATTAGACAGAAGCTTTGCACTGTGACAGAGAGAGGCTTTAGACTGTGTCCCTAATGGCACCCTATTCCCTACGTAGTGCACTATTTTTCACCAGGGCCCATAGGGTTCTGGTCAAATGTAGTGCACTACATAGGGAATAGGGTGTTATGTGGGACTCTGATTTTAGTGTCTGCAGTCATACACACTTTTGGCCGTCAAAAGCTTTCCAATCCAAAATGGCGTAGCAGTGCGGTCGTGTACTATGTGTGTGTCCGTGTAAATAGCCAGTTTTTTGTATTTTTCGTACATATTTCCCTATCACACTTATCATCCTTCTACTAAATATACTTTCCTGCAACCCGCCTCACTCAATGTGGAACGGATTCTATTATTGACTTACCTTTTATCTGGAATCTCCAGTTGAAACTAGCTAGCCAGCTAACTAGCTACTTGCTATTAGCCACCGTTAGCGGTTTTCATCCAGAACATCGGATTTTCTGCCGGAATAACTGAATCACTGGACATTAACACCGGATCGCAACTAGTTAGCCGCAACCGAATGGATGTTGCTGTTGGCTAATCACCACTGCCCCCGAAGCAAGCACCAGTTAGCCTTGAGCTAGCCTTGAGCCAGGCCCATATCCCAGCTATCTACCTCTCTGTCTACCGGACGGGAGTAGCCAGCTAACTAGCTACTTGCTATTAGCCACCGTTAGCGGTTTTTCACCATTGTCCGTGGCCTGCACTACCTACCAGCCAGCGCTAGCCTGGACAATTATCGGCCAGTCTGCACTGTCTGCACAGCGCGTTATCGACCCAGAACATATCAATTTTTCTGCCGGAATCACTGAATCACTGGACCTTTAACTCCGGATCATCACAACTAGCTAGCTGCAACCAAATGGATGTTGTTGTTGGCTAATCAGACTTGAGCTAGCCTCGAGTCAGGCCCATCTCCCGGCTATCTACCTCTCTGTCAACCGGACTGGACCTCCTAGAGTCGACACGGAGCCCCGCCGATCCATCACGACTGGTCTGCCGACGTAATCGTCTGTGGTTTCAACAGGCTTCCCGTTGCGACGACCACGAAGATCCATCTGCTAGCCCCGGCCCGCTAGCACACGCAAACAACAGCCGTGCTTCCTGCTAGCCAGTGCTGTAGCACCAATCCGAACTGCTCTCGGACTCACATATTGCTGTTCACTGGACCTTATGATCACTCAGCTGCGCAGCTGATGCCTGCTGGACTGTTCCTTTACACGGTACCCTGTCCTGTTTATCTGTTTAGCCTCAGCCCAAACCTTCATCGCCATTACCAGTTGTTGTCTTAGCTCTCTCGAATAACACCTGTGATTGCTTTATGCCTCTCTCCCATGTCAATATGCCTTGCCTATTGCTGTTCCAGTTAGTTCTTATTATACAATTTCACTGTAAAGTACCAAGTCCCTCTCAAACTGCCTCAAATAGCTCCTTTGTTCCACCCCCCATACATGCGGAGACCGGCTCAATCGGTGCCTCCAGTGATGCTATCTCTTTCATTGTTACCCAACGCTTAGGTTTACCTCCACTGTACTCATATCCTTCCATATCCTTGTCTGTACATAATGCCCTGAATCTATTCTACAACGCCCAGAAATCTGCCCCCTTTACTCTCTGTACCCAAACCACTAGAAGACCAGTTCTTAAAGCCGTATCCTTATTCTAGTCCTCCTCTGTTCCTCTGGTGATGTAGAGGTTAACCCAGGCCCTGCAGCCCCCAGTATCACTCCTACTCCCCAAGAGCTATCATTTGTTGACTTCTGTAACTGTAAAAGCATTGGCTTTTTGCATGTTAACATCAAAAACCTCCTCCCTAAGTTTGAGTTATTCACTGCGTTAGCACACTCTCATCCTGACTAATTTACCCTCTAAATACACCTCCGCTGTCTTCAACCAGGATCTCAGCGATCACTGCCTTATTGCCTGCGTCGGTAACGGGTCCGCGGTCAAACGACCACCCCTCATTACTGTCAAACGCTACCTAAAACACTTTAGCGAGCAGGCCTTCCTAATTGACCTGGCCCAGGTATCCTGGATGGATATCGATCTCATTCCGTCAGTAGAGGATGCCTGGATGTTCTTTAAAAGTGCTTTCCTCTCAATCTTAAATAAGCATTCCCCATTCAAAAAATTCAGAACTAAGAACAGATATAGCCCCTGGTTCTCCTCAGACTTGACTGCCCTTGACCAGCACAAAAACATCCTGTGGCGTACTGCATTAGCATCGAATAGCCCCCGCAATATGCAACTTTTCAGGGAAGTTAGGAACCAATATACACAAGCGGTTAGGAAAGCAAAGGCTAGCTTTTTCAAACAGAAATTTGCATCCTGTAGCACTAACTCCAAAAAGTTTTGGGACACTGTAAAGTCCATGGAGAATAAGAGCACCTCCTCCCAGCTGCCCACTGCACTGAGGCTAGGAAACACTATCACCACCGATAAATCTACAATAATCGAGAATTTCAACAAGCATTTTGCTACGGCTGGCCATGCTTTCCACCTGGCTACCACTACCCCGGTCACCAGCTCTGCACCCTCCGCTGCAACTTGCCCATGCCCCCCCCGCTTCTCCTTCACACAAATTCAGACAGCTGATGTTCTGAAAGAGCTGCAAAATCTGGACTCCTACAAATCATCTGGGCTAGATCATCTGGAACCTTTTCTTTCTAAAATAAGCCGCCGAAATTGTTGCATCCCCTATTACTAGCCTGTTCAACCTCTCTTTCGTAACGTCTGAGATCCCCAGAGATTGGAAAGCTGTCGCGGTCATCCCCCTCTTCAAAGGGGGTGACACTCTAGATCCAAACTGTTACAGACCTATATCCATCCTGCCCTGCCTTTCGAAAGTTTTTGAAAGCCAAGTTAACAAACCGATCACCGACCATTTCGAATCACACTGTACCTTCTCCGCTATGCAATCCGGTTTCCGAGCTGGTCATGGGTGCACCTCAGCCACGCTCAAGGTCCTAAACGATATTATAACCACGATCGATAATAGACAGTAATGTGCAGCCGTCTTCATCGACCTGGCCAAGGCTTTCGACTCTGTCAACCACCGCATTCTTATTGGCAGACTAAATAGCCTTGGTTTCTCAAATGACTGCCTCGCCTGGTTCACCAACTACTTCTCAGATAGAGTTCAATGTGTGAAATCGGAGGGCCTGTTGTCTGGACCTATGGCAGTCTCTATGGGGGTGCCACAGGGTTCAATTCTTGGGCCGACTCTTTTCTCTGTGTATATCAATGATGTCGCTCTTGCTGCTGGTGATTCTCAGATCCACCTCTACGCAGACGACACCATTTTGTATACATCTGGCCCTTCATTGGACACTGTGTTAACT